AAACACGCAAGGTGTTTAGTAGAGTGCACTAGTAAGTCAAATTACTGGTCTGCTTACGTAACTAGAAGAGTTCTGAGTATTGACTTTCCACGTCTTAATTAACATGTAAAATCTGATTGAAGAAATGTGTATGTTAGAACTGAGAGAGAAAAGTTCTTGATAACCAGAGTCAGGACAGTACAGGTAAGTGCTATGTAAGCCTTCACACACTTTTCTGATGAATATTATGCTATCATAATTGTTTCACTCCCTCTCCCCTTCTGTTTTTTATCCCCACATTACATCTTAGATGTTAGGAATGTTAAGCTTGCTGGGGCAAGACTGTCCTTTACAGTTGTGTATGGTACATAACACAATGAGGCCCTAATTGGGGTCTTGAGGTGTTACCGCAATATAAATAATTATTTAAAAATACACTTCATGCCTGATCTGTAGAGTCCCTCCTAGTCCAGCCCTCTGTACCCCACACATACCTCTCCCTACACATCTTCAGGCCTGCCGATGGGGTGCATCGTGGGCAATTGCCTTGGGGTCCAGCGATTCAAAGGAGCCCAGGGCTTCCGGCCACCATCACCGCTACTGTAGCAGCGGCAGCAGCTGGAGCCCCAGGTCCTTTAAATTGATGCCGGAGCACCATGCTGCACTCTGAAGGCTTGGGGAGGCCACACATTTAGGGCAGGGCTGGCAGGGGGCAGAAACACACTCCATTCCACTCTGAGGCTATGTCTACACTCGCGACTCCTTGCGCAAGTAATATGCAAATGAGGCTAAGCGTGGAATATCTCCACACCTCTTTTGCATACCAAATGAGCCACCATTTTTTTCAGAAGAGGCTCTTATGCAAGAAGGAGCATCTACACTGCCCCTTCTTGCGCAAGAAAAACCCTCTTGCGCAATGCTGTTCTTCCTGAAAAGTAATAGGTGTAACGGCATTGTGCAAGAGGGTTTTTCTTGTGCAAGAAGGGACAGTGTAGACGCTCCTTCTTGCATAAGAGCCTCTTCTGAAAAAAATGGTGGCTCATTTGGTATGCAAAAGAGGTGTGGAGATATTCCACGCTTAGCCTCATTTGCATATTACTTGCGCAAGGAGTCGCGAGTGTAGACATAGCCTCAGAGTGGAATGGAGGACTGGCTACACTGGCCCCACCCCTTCTACCTGATGCCCAATCACTACCAGGCATACCCACACACGCATACACACCTTGCCCAGCAGCGGCTATTGATGCCTCTGCACACCTTGCAGCAATCTCCACCACTCTATCAGTAAATCTCTACTGAACATATGAAAAAATGTTAATTGAAATCTGGAATGGAAAGACAGGCATAACAACCTACCATGCATCCTATTCTACTCCCTCCCATAAAAGCCAGAAACTCAGAACTAGAGAACATCCTGGCATACTCAGGTTCAGAGCTGTATGCTTCCTAACTTACCTGCTACTCAGCAAAATGAGATTGAAATGGCAGCAGTGTAAATCAAAACTTGGGATACCATAGTGAGACAAAAGGGAGAGAGCTACAAGGGGGATTATAATTAGTGAGCAGTTTTCTTTAAAAAAAAAAATACTGTACATCTTAAACCTCTTTCTTTGGTTGGGTTTCATTGTGAACTTAGTCATGCACCGTAGCTTTGAAATCAAGTTCCATGCACATCTGATGCAACCAATTTGACAAGGTTTGTGCTAATCAGCTGAGATGGTAGCCAGTCTAGAAAACACAGGGATTATATTGTGTGTTTTAAAAATGTGAAGATTTGCTAAAGGAATGTGGAACTGGCTTGGATTCTCCATCTTCCCCCAAAATTCACAGGATAGGCTATAGTCTTATATTAGGCTATGCAACATGGTATGGTGATAAACTTATCCCCTTCCCCAAAGAATAAGCAGAGAGACGGCAGCTCCTATATAGAGTAAAGTCTAGCTTTTACCACAGGTGGCCTTGGTTTTACCTGCTACGTTCACAGAAGCAGAAAAAGGAATCCCCTCCTTTAGGTTCTCTCTCCTCCCTCTCATTTTTATGATAGGATTTTTAAAAAGACACATATATAGTCCATTTCACATATGCCAATAATGAGGTGACACACTCTCCTATGTTTTTAAAGGCAGGGAAGACCAAGGAGTAAAAACAATTTCTCCCCACCTGAATATGTTCATACCTAATATAATTTAGAGCCATGCTAACTTTTCAATTTTGTGTCTTCATTGAGTTATGTAAAAAGTTCCTGAAGCCTCATGGAAGACTTGAGAAATAAAAACAAAATGTAACTCCTAAGCTATGAGATTTCCTACATTTCACTCCCCCTCATTTTTTATCACTAAGGAGACAAGTGTCGGCCTGAAAACAGGATCTTGGTTCCTTGAGAGTTCACCTACTCCAGCTGCTTATTATTCTCTCGCTTCCCTGTCTTGTGCCTGAGGCTCTAATTCTCTGCTTGTGACATCACTTATTTCCATGGCATCCAATTGTGATGTCACAGAACTCTCACTTGAGGCACAGGAGAAGAAATAGCAGCAGGAACACATGAACTCTTCTTAAGAAAAACTTACTGCAGCCCTTTAGCCTAATGAAGTAGAACGGAGAAAAATACACGTCCTATTATAGAGCGGCTGAATTGCTCCTACTTACAAAAAATAACCTGTAGAAATCAAAACACAGAACTCCATTTCACAGACTGTCGTCTTAAACTAGGACTGTACAATCCAGGTCTCAAAAGTACTAACTGAACTGAATCTCAACCCTGTCTCTGAAATGCTTTTCAACATTTTTATGGCTCATATTTCTTCCTCTCTCCACAGCATCAAAATTTTTCTCTTCCTGCTAGACCCCTTCCACAACACCAGCTCCATACCCTAGCCCCTTCCTTCACTCCCTTCACCAGGCTGCCTCCTAAAAACTTTTTCCATATATATCCCTTCCTTCCTATAATCTTCCCCACTACTGTTTTAATACCCTAATATCTGACAGCCTCTCTAATCGAGTCTCATGCTCCACTGTATTCCAGTGTTGGAAGCAATGCACTCTGTGCACCTGTGAGCAGGGAAAGTTCAGAGTGTAGGAAAAATGTAAATAGAGAGGAGGCCATGAAAAGCAAAGAGGCTATATCCTATGTGCATTGTTAAGGGAAGGCGATAGAGGGAGTCTAATTAATATAATAGGGTTAAAAGTAAGGAAGAAGCCAAAAGAGACCCTCAGAACAAGCATCCACATTTATGGATGGTTGCCTGAAATCAAACTGAACCCTTTTTAGGTCTGCCCATTATAATTAACTCTTTCTCTGTCCATTGGAATGGACTATTCCTTTGAATAACAGGGTACATATACCAGAAGCTGATGTGAGTTTTGCCCCGTGTATCTGCAGTTATTTAGCAGTTAAGTGGATATATAAAATGCTTCCCAATCAGGCTTATTTTTGGACAAGTTCACTCAGTTAAAGATTCTATATTCATACAGAACACCTGTCCCTGCTTGGGTTTTGAACTCTTTAGCCATCGTACTTCTGTTCCAGGAGTCACTGGCAGCTGCCTGCACCACTGGGGGTGCGCTGTTTGAAGAGACCTCAGAAGGAAACAGAGGCAGCAAAGTGGTGGTGGTGGTCTGTTCATCCTCGCTAAATACTATCAAGTCCTGGTAGAGAAAACAATGCAGAAATAATCAGTTAAGCAGTGAATGCTCAGATAAAAGCCATGCTGCTCAAAATGGTGAAGACTTGAACTTTTCAAGTGGTGCTAAAACCAAAAAGGGAGCAGGGAGTTAAAAGCTTCAATTTACCTGAATTATTTGATTGGCTGGTTTTTAGTAGAACCACTGGCCATTAAATATAGATTGAAATATTTTTAAAATGTTTAAGATGGCATATTTATCTATATGAGAATTTGAAATATTTTTAAAATGTTTAAGATGGCATATTTATATGAGAATCGGGCCATGGAAAATATACATTTAAAAACAAAAAGAATTGAATGCTGGAGTCTTCCACTTACCTACATGCTGAAATCTGAGCAAGGGGGCTCCGTCTCCCCTACTAACATTGACATCATTAATATCTAAAGCACCATAAAGAATGCAGCTCACTGTTCTCTTTTAGGTGTCAGTGATGTGATATCATATATTATAGGAGAAATGCAGAACCTTACGGTCTTGTAGGCTTCTCTGCTCAGCTTTTAAAATGTCAAGGGATTTACTTCCACCTGTTGTTCTACTAAAGGGTGACTTTTGCCCTGGAGCAAACTTGTTAAAAATAATATAACTGATACAAGAAGAAATGTTCTGGTCCTATGTTTCCTTTACTATTTTTGAAAAGATTTGTGTTTTCATAATGACTCTCTTTTATCAGTCCCAACTTCAGCTTGGCATACTACAACTACTTTGCAATTTTATAGAACCTTTCATCAGAGGTTGCTAAAATATTTTACAGACTTTAAAGAAACGCAGTCTTACAACAGCACTGTCAGATAAGGTATTAGTATTCTGTCTTATCAGATGGGGAAACTGGGCAAAGAAAAGTAAAGACATTTCTCCAACCCAGATCTCTTCACTCCTAATCCAGTATTTTAAGTATCAGGTGTGTCGGGCTAGGTCCTCAGTTAGAATTAATTGGTGTAGCTTACTGGAAGTCAGGGGACTTATGCAGATTTCTACTAGCTGATGATCTGGCCCAGGGCTTTTCATAGCTTGTTTTGTTTTGTTAGATAAAAGGAAGCCACAAATCATCTCAGTTGATTACTGATAAAGTCTCAGACTGGCAACTAATACATATATGAAAATAATTTCATTAATTAGGTAACATTTGAGGTGCTTTTCTCTTCACAGAAAGGCTTGAAAACCACTGCAAGTTTTCCATTGTTTTAACCGATTAGGCTTAACAAAGCAGCACTTAGAAGAGCTCAATGGAGAATTACAGCCTTGCCTACATTAGAAATGTGTTATTTATACCAGGATTCTAGGAATGAATGCAGTTGAAACAGTGCTGAACTCTGAAGTCTACACTTGGCACATTTACAAGTAAACTACATTCAGCTCTGGTTTAACTCTCTTTGTTGCTGACACCTGCTGTCAGCAATGGGTTTTTTTTGTAGTGCAGTCAAAATTAAAGGCATATATTCCTAGAAGAAATTAAAATGACTGCCTTGGCAGTTCCAGACAGATTGGCAGTGGTGGGTGTAGGAAATGTAATTGTGATTGGCATGTGGCAGTGACTATGAATGACAGGAAGGTATATGAAATTACAGAGGTTAAATGTGTTTGGGGTGGGTTCAAACACACGCAACTTGGAAACTATGTGGTGACACATAAGTTTAAAGTTTGAACACAAAAATGTTCTGGTAGAGCCCTAAATGTGGTGCGGTGCTGTGCTGCATGTATGTAATCTTTGTTACTGCTTTTGTTGGCTTTATTCATCTTTTTTTCAAAGCAGCAATAAGAACAATCTAAAAAGTAGACTAAGAATATCCTGGGTTTGTGTATCTCTTTATTTTTCTCACAACAAAGAAACAGCCTATTCCAGAAGTCTGAGTAATGATTCTAGCCTCTTAGATTTACAAAGCAGAACCAGAATTAGTGAGAAAATACTTTCTCGTAGTATTTCTCTGTTTCTGTGTCTCATTTTACACAGGTAATACAAGGACTGCATTGAAATGAAAAATAACAGTAAAAACATTAAGTGATCAGTCTTGAGTTTTCCAAAAGTTTTGGCTTGTTTCAGTTCCATTTGGGGTAAAAACAACATAGTCTTGTGACACCTTAGAGACTAACAAAAAGGGATAAAGTTCATGATGGTTTTTTATTTTGTAAGAATAATGTTGTGGTTGACATGAAAATGATTCCGATTGCATAAACTGATGATAATAAGTCAAATAGGAGCATAAAGCTGAGAGGATAAAGCTTCTGTAAAAGCCTAAATCAGTTAAATTAGCAAATGTGGTAAGGAAAATGACTAACCATGCATGGAAGGTAAGTGGAATCATATTTATGGCTTTGTCTATAGTAGAGAACTGAATTGTTTCTAACTGACTTGGTGGGCTGATACTGCTATAAGTACCAGTGGACCAATGAGTCCTTATTAGCCATTCTGTTCTGGTTGCAGTTTTGCCCTGTGTACGCATTGTGCTCTGTTACTCTGTTGTGGCTGCATTGCCCTCTGGATTTTTTGATCCCACAGTTTCCTGCTCAGATGAAGCAGTGGATTCACGGAACTATTTATTACAAGGATTCCACCAGCATCTCTATTGTACACAAAATTGCAGGCCAACTTCAAAAGCAAAACAAATTGACATGGATAAATAGAGGCAAGAGTAGGGGTTTATGGGGCCCTGAGCCACAGCAAATGGGGGCCCCTCCCTACCTCTTGTGCATGCAGTCCCTCCCCACTACCCTTTGGACTCTCTGCAAAGGAATGGGATCAGGGTGTAGGGGCTTGCCCTGTTCTGCCCAGCCAGTGCTCCTGCTGGAGATCAGGATGGGGTGTGGTACCTCTCCCACTTCCCGGCAGGAGTGTCGGGTGGGCCGAGGGAGCAGGGCAAACCCCTGTGCCCCATCCTCATTCCTGGGCAGGATGTGGGGACACCCAGTTAGCCAGGGCCTTTGGGCAGTGTCCCTGTTGGTCTAGGGGCTAATCTCCCACTGTGGATACACCATAAAAAGCAATAGAGATGTTATCATCCAACTTCATAAGTGCATCTCACAGGAATTTTCCAATTTTCCTTTCCAGCATCTTGTAAAGGAATGGAAGAGCTATGAGGCATCAAAAGTGGGAGTTAATCCAATAAGCAGTGGTATCCTGATGTAAAATGTACTGTGTAAGGGTTATAGGCATAGGCGTGACAACTAGTTCTTGAGTTAATACCTCATTTATGCTTGAGCCCTAATGTAATTGTTGGAAATTTCCTTTTGGAATTATCTGAGCTCCATTTGCATTCTTCGCTGCTGAAATTTCCCTGCATCATTTCCTGGTTGTCCTCTCTGAAACTTTCCTATTTCTCAACAATGGTTTATTTTATACTCCCCACATTTATATGAGCAGTCCAAGTCCTTATTCGTGTGTCTCTGCATGACTAGCTCTTCCCTGATCTTCCTCTCCTGGACTTCGTCTGTCAGTCATTCCATCTCTATGGATCCAGTTTACTTGCCCCGAGGTCTGTTCTGGGTGTCTTCAATGGCCACTAAAATAGGACATAAGAAATGAAAGTTAATAATCATAGCACTTGCACATCCCTCCCTTGATACAACAAGTAATTCCCCCCTCCCCCAAATATTTAAGTGTATCTGAAGTAAGCAGGGGGACACTGGACAATCAAGATGCTGAAAGAGAACTGAAGGACAATAAGCTCATTGCAGGTCTTCACTGCTGAGGAGGAAGGGAGATTCCCAAACGTGTCATTCTTTTAGGTGAAAAAGCTGAAGAACTGTCCCAGATTGAGATGTCATAAGAGGTGGTTTTGGAACAAATAGATAAATTAAACAATAATAACTCACCAGAACCAGATGGCATTCACTCAAGTTCCAAAGGAACTCAAATGTGAAATTTCAGAATCACTAACTGTGGCTTACAACCATCTATTTAAATCAGCTTCTGTACCAAATGACTGGAGGATAGATAGTGTGATGCCAGTTTTTAAAGAGGGCTCCCAAGGTGATCTTGGCAATTACACTGGTTGAACTATAGTAAAGAATAGAATTGTCAGAGACATAGATGAACATAATTTGTTGAGGAAGTTTCAGCATGGCTTTTGAAAAGGGAAATCATGGCTCAGCAATCTATTAACATTTTTGTGGGATCAACAAGCATGTGAACAAGGGCTACTCAGTGGATATAGCATTCTTAGATTTTTAGAAAGCCTTTGCCAAAGTCCCTACCAAAAGCTCTTAAGCATAGTAAGCTGTCTTGAGATAAGATGGAAAGTGCTCTTGTGGGTTAATAACTGGTTAAAAGATAGAAAACAAAGAGTAGGAATAAATGGTCAATTTTCAGAATGGAGAGAGGTGTCCCTCAGGGATCTGTACTGGGATCAGTTCTATTCAACATATTTCATACATGATCTGGAAAAGGGGGGAAAACAGTGAGGTGGCAAAATTTGCAGATGATACAAAACTATTCCAAGATAATTGAGTCCAAAGCAGACTGCAAGAGTTACAAAGGAGTCTCACAAAAGTGGGTGACCAAGCAACAAAATGATTTTCATCTGCCAATGTTGCTAAATGCAAAATTAATGTGCATTAGAAAGCATAATCCCAATTATACTAAAGTCATGGGGTCTAAATTAGCTGTTACCACCCAAGAGAGGAATCTTGGAGTCATTGGGGACAGCAGATGAAAGCATCTGCTCAATGTGTAGCAGTGGGGGAAAAAGTGAACAGAATGTTGGGAATCATTAAGAAAGGGATAGAGAATACGACATAGAATATCTTATTGTCTCTATATAAATCCATGGTGTGACTGTGTATTTAATATTCTTTATGAAAATAGGTGTATTCCTGTTTTAAAGCATAATTCGAATATGCTTTGTGCAAAATTTTCATGTAACATATAACTGGAAAGCTTGTAATCCTCTGTGCATATAAATAAAACATACATACACCATTTCTGTACATGAAATTGGGAATATTGACTGTAGATTTATTATCAGTAT